AGATACATGGCTGCATCTTCCATTTGGTCCAGAATCTCAAAAAACGTGTGGCATCGTGCGGGCTCACCAGAAGATATCGGAACGAGTCCGACTTCGCGCTGAGAGTAAGAATGATTTCCGCGATGGCATTCTTACCACCAAATCGCCTGGAAGAAGCCCTCCGTGACCTCAGGGACGAGCTACCGGAAGAGCTGCAGACGGTTCTCGACTATTTTGAGGACACATACATGGGGAGGCTGCAGATAAAGACCGATGGAACCATGGGACGCCGGGAAGCCATTTTCCAGTCCACATGCGGAGTGTCCATGAACGTACGCTCAATGATGACTCCCTCTGACAGAACGAACAATTTTGTGGAAGCGTTTCACCGGAGTCTCCAGCGTCAGTTCGCAGCAGACCACCCTGGGCTGTTGAAGTTCATTGATGGTTTAAGGAAAGCGCAGGTGCACAAGGACGCCCAGCTAGAACGTTACGTCGCCGGATGCGCGGCTGCGGAAAAACGGAACCGGTATCTCCAGAACGATCAGCGCATCCAGAGGAAAATGAATCGACGTGATTCTTATACGCTCATTGAATTCCTCCGCGGAATCGCTCATACCTACGAGATGAATCCATAGAGACCGCGACAAAATCGTTCCCTTGTGAAAACGTGATTTCATTGTGATTTTAATTTGTGTAATGTGATCTTATGGAATTGATCGTGAGATAGTGCTCACATGTTAAGTAAATCAGAATGCGTTCATCCGAGCAGACGTAAACAGCGCGCTCGATCGCGGGCAGTGAAATAGCGAATTTTCCTAGTTCAAGTGTTGACAAAACGACAGTGAGTGCACGCAGGAGAAATGACCTCCTTCTCGGAACACCAACTGGACCAATTGAGGAAACTCCTGGAAACCGAGTTCGACAAGAGATGGGGAAAATTCATCGAGCACGTGGACGGTCGTATGAAGACCGTCGAGACTGAAATTTCGAAGATACAGATGGAAAACAAAAGCCTAAAAACCAGAATCAATACGTTGGAATCTCTGGCAATGAGAAATAGGATCGAGATTCAGGGTTTTCCTCAAGAGTCGAAACTGGATGGTCGGGAGATCACCAAGAGACTGGCGAAGCAAGCTAAGTTAGAACTTGGAGATGATCAAATCCTCTTTGCAATGAGGACAGGTCCGGTGAGAACCATAAAGGGGGTCTCCTCCCAGACTATTAACGTGGAATTCTCCACAATCGCCCTGTGTGACCAATTCATGAGCGGTATAAAGACTCTCAGGGAGAGCCGGCCTGCCAAACAGCTGGACTCCAAACTGATCAGCACTCGGGCGAACCCTCAACCAATCTATGTTAGCAGAAAGTACTCAAACGAAGTTAAACGCCTGCGCTCGTTAGCAATGCTCAAGAAGAAATCTCTGAAGTACGATTATTGCTGGATTAGCGATTCAGGAAAACTATGTATGAGAAAAAGCACCGGAAGTCCAGTGATTTTCATCTCAAGCGAGGAAGACATCCTACAGCTCAAATGACGTCTCTCCTCACGGTGCTATTCTAGGGATCGCTTCAATTCAACTCAAGAGGAAGAAACTTAACACAGCCCAAGCGATTTACAAATCTTCTACTACTGCCACGCGGTCGGGTGCAGCTATTGTTCTGTTATTGCGAATTCTACTACTTTTCGTCCCGGGGGGGACTTACGTGGAGGGGCATATAAGGTACTACTCAATATTCAAATTATTAATATAAGAAGTGCGAGAAGTAACCTTGATATATTCGTTAGCACACTACTGGAACCGAACACCCATATAATTATTCTAACTGAGACCTGGCTCTACTCAGCGACCCAAAATCTCACGAGCCTACCGGGTTTCTCCGCTCACTATGACTGCAACGACAGCTATAGAGCTGGCGGTGTTGCTATCTACGTGAGGGATGATCTCACCTCCATCAACGTACCCGTGACAACTAGGGCCTGCGATGCGGTAATTGCTGAGGTTCGACTTAATAGTTTATGTGTAGACATTGTTGCAATTTACCGCTCCCCTAGCCAGGAGATCTCAGACCTGGACACTTTCATCCAGTCGGACATGAAGGAGATACTTAGGAACATGAATTCAGAGGCGGAGTGCGTGTTCACGGGCGACATTAACATATGCCTACTTTCGCAGTCGGATACCGTCTTCGACTATCTTTCAATGCTTTGCAACTCAGGTTTCCTCAATCAGAATGAATTCACGCCGACGAGAGTCAACAACGACTCTGCCTCCCTGATCGACCACATCTTCACAAGAATAAGGAGGCTAGATATATCGAAAATCGAAATTTGCGACTCATTGGGAGTATCTGATCATAAGCTGATGAATGTGGGTCTTCTCTTGCCCACGATGATCCCGTGCACGGACAGACACCTGAGGACAGACTATCCGGCACTTATTTCTATGATGAGCATGACTGATTGGTCTCCCTGTTTCCGAGAGGTTGATCCGGATACCAAATGCTCCATCCTACAGAGTACATGCTTACAGGCAATCGAGTGTTGCACCACTAGCACCGTTGTCAGGAAACGAATCAGACCGATCAGAGATTGGATGACGATCTCTCTGGTCAGATCCATTAGGAGAAGGTGTAGGCTTTACCGGCAGTACAAAATTCGGAAGACGGTTGAATCACGACTGCGGTTCGAATGCTATCATGCCCATCTGAAAAAATTGCTCAAACAGGCGAAGGATAACTACTTTAGGACGAAATTCAAGGAGGCAGAAGGAGACCCAGCTGCCTCATGGAGAATCATCAACTCATACTTCAGGGGGAAAAAACAGCGGACAACCCTGGACCCAAGTCTAGTTGGCCTCAATGTCGACGAAATTAACAGGTGGTTTGCGGATCTCGGTCCTAGTACAGTACGGAACG